TTTCTTTCTTAGTCTATTACATGATAAATTATATTCTCTATTCTACATTCCTGAGATTAACACAGATTAGTCATAAAACATTACCTTCTATATTTACATAGGTTCAATTTGCTAATATTTCATTCATATGAGCCTCATAAAAAGAGTTGGCAAATGTTTTTTGTTTTTTGATTCTCTGACAGAGTCTGTATAAGGCTACAATAATTTTTATCTGCGTGTGTATATGTTTGTATTTTTTTTCTGGTAGATTTGCCAGCAAAGTGATTTTAGATTTAGATTAGAAAACTATTTAGGTTTCCTATTCTTAAACCAGTATTGGTAATTTTCTAAGAATTTGTCCATTTAGTCTAAATTTTCAAATTATTGGAATAAATATACCCACAGTATTTTCTTACTATTTTTTACTGCCTGTAAAATCTATACTTATGTCCCTTTCTTCCTTTCCCCTATTATTTGTACCTTCCTCTTTATTACTCACCTCTGAAAGTAGCAGTACCTCAGAATCCCAGGCTCACCCAGTAGGCCTCTTGGGCACCCCCACAGCCCTTTCAGGTCAGATGCTCCTGCACTGGTGGTCTAATGGTTAGTCGGCCTGAAATCTGACTACATTGCTTGGAGCCGAATGAGTTTCAGAAAGAAGTGAGTCTTTCTTTCATTCTTAACATTAGATAGTACCGATGCTATGAAATGGGTACTGTAATGTATTTATCATAGTTAAGGAAATTGAGTTTCATGGACATTAACGTGCTAAACCAAGATACACAGCTCATAAACAGTGGAGCCCAAATTCTAGCATTTGGGGGTATTTTCCAATACCAACCAATTCTCTAATTCAACAGATACCAACTGGGTATTTAATGATTCAGTTTTGACACTACTCAGAGTTAGAGCATTATAGTTGGGGTATCATGAACAGTGTCTGGTTTTCTTCATTTTAGTCCTGTTTCTGCAGCCAGCTACAACCTCTTAAAATTGAGGTAAGAGTGACACTTGCTGGTAGCCATTTATATTGCAACTTGAAACTAGTTAATAAATTTTCAATTTAAGTGCCTGTGGTATGTAAAACAAAAGAATCAGTAGGGTTTTTATGTATTAAAACATCACATTGTACTTCATATATATATATATAGTCAATTGAAAATAAAATCAAACTTTTCAAAACAAACTCAGTAGGAAGAATACTAGCTGACCTTTGATAGCTTTTTAAGTATCATAAATTGTGTTGCTTTGTAGCCATTCAATGCTTAGCACAATTCTATAAAGAAGCTTTTAAAATTTGTGTTTCTGAGGGGTTTTTCTGTTTTGTTCTGTTTTGAGACAGTCACATTCTGTTGCCACAGGTTTGAGTACCATGGCAGCAGCCTAGCTCACCTTAAACTCCTGGTCTTAAGCAATCTTCCTGCTTCAGCCTCCTGAGTAGCTGAACTATAGGCGCCTGCCATAACACATTGGCTATATTTTTTTTTTCCTTTTCTAGTAGGCGCAGGATCCCCTCTTGCTCAGGCTGGTTTTCAACTCCTGATCTCACAGGATCCTCCTGCCTCAGCCTACTAGAGTGCCAGGATCACAGGCATGAGCCACCACACCTGGCCTATTTCTGAGGTTTTTATTAGTATACCTTTGTTTTCACACTGGAGGGTTTAGAATCCAATCACCTAGATCATGGCCCATCGGTCAAATTCAGTCTGTTTTTTGCACTCACACAGCTAAGAATGATTGCATAAATGGTTGAAAAAAAATCAATATTTTACATGGAAAAATTATTAAAATTCAAACTTCAGTGTCCACATAGAAAGCAGCGTTGGACAAGAGCACTCTTTACTTGTTTACACATTATATAAAGCGGCTTTTGAACCATGGTAGTTGAGTAGTTAGTTCAGCAGAAACTGTATTATCCTCAATACCTAAAACATTATTTGTTGGATCTTTACAAATAAGTTTGCCAATTCCTAACCTACATTCCATGCTGAGCAAATAAAAACTTTAACCCTCAATTTTCATTACTCATAAAATGGGGATAATACCTAAGTAGCACTTTCAGGAAGATCAGAACTGTAAGTAGTAAACTTACCCTTAAGGGACTCATAGAAGTTTACGTGAAGGAGTAAGCACCTCATTATGGTCAAATGGAACTCAATTTCCATCTGCAAATCTGATCCTGCTTCAGTCGACTATCACAGAATGCTTATGTGCATGGCATCTGGGATCAGAATATTGGATTCTGTTCTTGACTTCCTTATTTACCTCTATAACTGTGATGGAATGGAGAGGTAATGACTACAAAGGTTGAGCACTTAGGCTTTGACACCAGAACACCCTAGTTTCAATTTTGGCTTGGCCATTCACTAGTTGGGCGACCTTAAGTAAATTACATAATTTCTGAGCCTCTTCTTTGTCAATTAAAAATAAAATCAAACTTATAAGACTCAGTAGGAAGGATACTAGCTGACCTTTGATAGCTTTCTAAGTACCATAAATTGTGCTGCTTTGTAGCCATTCAATCTTTAGCACAATCCTATGAAGAAGCTGAAATATGAGGGTAAAAATAATACCAATGTCATTTGTATCTTAACTACGCAGTGACTTGTTGTGAGGATAAAATGGCTTTCTTAACGTAGTGATTAAAACACTGTCAGCAGCCTGCTATGGATGTTTGCAATTGGTTTCCCATCAGATTTAGGATAAACACTGAACTCCTTCTCTTGGCCCTGTAAAACCTGGACATCTGCCTTCATCTAATTGTCCAGTTCCAACCACTCTCCTCCCCCACTATGTTGCAGCCATAATGGTCTTTCTCATCCAAATTATGCCAACTTTTTATTTCCCCATGAAGACATTTGCACTTACCATTTCCAGTGACCTCAAGCCCCAGCACAAGCTTTTTCTCTGGAATATGGCATAGAAGTTTAAGTTGCCTTCTAAAGCCCTTAACAAATGTGAACGTATAAATAAACCCTGAAAAGAGAAGATAATTTGGGCAAGGTGCTTTGAACAGGCAATAGAAACATAATTGGAAGCAAGATTTTTCTGAGGGGGCTATAATGGCTGAGTGGTTAAGACACAAATTTATTAGCATTAAAAAATCAACTCATTGGCTTTTGAGAGAGGGTTTCACTCTGTCACCTGGGTTAGAGTAACATGGTGTCTTCCTTGCCCTTTTCTTCTTCCCAGGGCTCAAGTGATCCTCCTGCTTTAGCCTCCCAAATACCTGTGATTACAGGTGCACAGCACCATGCCCAGCTAATTTTTCTATTTTTCATTTATTTATTTTTGAGACAGAGTCTCAAACTGTCACCCTGGGTAGAGTGCCGTGGCATCATAGCTCATAGCAACCTCCAACTCTTGGGCTCAAGCGATCCCCTTGCTTCAGTTTTTCTATTTTTAGCAGAGTCTCACTTTTTGCTCAGGCTGGTCTCAAACTCCTGAGTTCAAGCAATCCACCTGCCTTGGCCTTCCAGATTGCTAGGATTGTAGGTGTGAGCCACCATGCCCAGCTATTTTTCTATTTTTTATAGAAATGGGGGTCACACTCTTGCTTAGGCTAGTCTCAAACTCCTGTCCTCAAGTGATCCTCCTGCCTCAGGCTTCTAAAGTGCTGGGATTACAGTTACATGCCTGGCCTCATTTGTTTTCTCTGCTGTTTACTCTGCTGCCTTGCTAAAGTACAGTGGTGTCATTACAGCTCATTGCAACCTCAAACTCCTGGGCTCAAGCAATACTCCTGCCTCAGCCTCCCAAGTAGCTGGGACTACAGAGCATATGCCACCATGTCCACCCAATTTCTCTGATCTTTTTAGATGGGGGTCTCACTCTTGCTCAAGCTGGTCTCCAACTCCTGACCTCAAGCTATCCTCTCAAAGTGCTAGGATTACAGACATGAGCCACTACACCCAGCCAGAAGCTTCTAAACTTGTGATAACTATCAAACCACTAGTCAGACCTGCATGAACAAATCCTCCAAAAGTCTAAACTGAGGAAGATTCCCCATGGCATTTTAATTCTTAAACCCTCCCACTACTCACACAAATGCATGTAACTGTTGTGATTATAAAACTATGTGATTCCTTAGTTTTTACATGCAAAGGTTTTTTAAGTAGCCAGAAACGCACTTTATACCTCAGCATAACACCCTCCTCAAAGTTCCTAAGAGTCAAAGAAGGAAAGATACTCAAGTGCAATGCAATTCCCACCTGTTCCCTGACAAGGGGATAAGGAGACATACTCCCACCTTCAATTTAAGCTTAAGAGAGCCTGGAAACTGTGCCCTCTGTAGTCCCTACAGCCCAAAAGTCTATACCAAACACATAACAAGAAAAAATGCAAGACTAGCCAACTAGCTGCCTACCTGATAAAGAGGTGTCTGCACTCCCTGAATCTCTGAAGACAAAAGATGAACATTTCACACAGAAGTGGCCTGTAGCCATTTTAAACTGAATTTCACTAGCTTTTGGGCCAATGAGACCTCAATGGAGCAAATTCCTATATAAGAAATCAAGGACCAAGAGAGGAAACAAAAGTGGACATCTGGTAAAAGACATTACCTCTATCAGCTGTTCTTAATCTTTAGTACACATTAGAATTACAAACAAAGCTTGTTAAAAGACAGCTTGCTGCATCCTACCCCAAGTGTTCTGGTTCAGAAAGTCTGAGGTGGAACCAGAGAATTTTCATTTCTAACAAGTCCCCAGGGGATACTAATGCTGCTGGTCCAGGACCACACTTTGAGAACCATTGGCCTACATTAAGAAAAGGGCAGGCAGAGATTCTCAGATAGAGGGCCAACTCTCCACCAACAACTTACTGAAGTAGCAGAAGGGAGAAGGTAAGAAAGTGCTCACATAAGGTTATTACCGTGTTTCCCCGAAAATAAGACCTACCCAAAAAATAAAACCCTAGCAGGATTTCTATGCATTTGTTAAACATAAGCTCCCCTGATAATAAGACCTAGTGATGGGCTACGCAGCGTATCTGCATAGCCACAGTAAGGAAGACTGGGATACCTTTTATCTGCCACAGCTCCTTTCTCCATCCAAGCCGTTGGCACTTGTGTAGGTGCATGTGTGGTAACTGCGGTCACGGGCATCCTATTGCGCACATGAACAGCTAGGGGAAAGGAATTTACACATCACTAGCACCAGCCCCACCAAGGTCAGCACCCCCTGCCAGGTTCAAGAAGAAAATGACTTAACTGTATTTGAATAAATGTAGATTGTTATGATTATACTTAATAAAAATAAGACACCCCCTGAAAATAAGCCCTAGTGTGTCTTCTTGAGAAAAAATAAATATAAGACAGTGTCTTATTTTCCGGGAAACATAGTAGCTGGAGGAGGATGGGAGTTATTGAAAGGACTTACATCCTCCCGGTCAAAAACCCAAACTGACAATGTCTACCCTCTTCAGTGACTTCCAAAGTTATCCTGGGCATAGCTATCCAAACAGCAAAGATGGAGAAGACAATGGAAGATCATCTAAGAAAACCTAGATTACTACACCCATTATCTCACTACCCAGAACTTAAGTCATGTGGCCTCATAAAGGGGAGGCTACATTTCCTGGGGAAACAGTCTCTGGATGGGTATCCGTATCTTAGCAGCTTACCTCATAGTGGAACAGGAATCTGTCATCACTCTCTTTCCCACTGTAGGTTTTCCAGCCTTAAATTTGAGCTTAGCTTTGAAGAAAATGTCTTTATGGTGACAGCCTTGCTGTCCCTGGTAATAGGCAACTAGGCATCTGTCCCAGAAAGCTCTGCCAAAATCAAACACGCCCCCTTTCCAGATGCTGGCAGTTTCCCTGATAGTGAATTGACAGATCAGCCCAGAACCTTCTTCTTGTCCATGTTACTTTCATTAACCTCCTTTTCTCTTTTGATGTTAAATGTTACTTTGTTTCAACAACCTGATGTCTCAAACCTGTCATCCTAGCATTCTGGGAGGCCATGGTGAGTGGATTGCTTGAGCTCAGGAGTTGGAGACCAGCCTGAGCAAGAGCAAGGCCCTGTCTCTAAAAATAGCCAGACATTGTGGTGGGCACCTTCAGTCCCAGCTACTCGCGAAGCTGAGGCAAGAGGAGAACTTGAGCCCAAGAGTTTGAGGTTGCTGTGAGCCATGACACCACAGCACTCTATGAAAGGTCAGCATTAAAGACTGTCTCAAAAAATAAAAAAGTTACTTTAAATTTTAACGTGTAAATTTTAATCTATAATTTTATATATTAAGTAGACTATGGTTCAAAGTATTGCCTAACTTGTGAAATGGCTTGAGCCTTTGCGTTAAGAGGTTCTGACTTCCTAGCAAACAGGTAGTACTAAGGAATAATCTATCCTTAAGAATTCCATGTAGCTCATGACTCTTATAACTGAAACAGCATCAAAATAAAGTCTGACGCTGTGGAATAACACAATGTATGTGGGCCTGTTTATCTCTGACCTAGAAGACTCATGAAAAAAATGTTTAGTTCATGACATAATTACTGAGTACTTCTAACTGAAAATGACCGATGAACTTATTACTGAATGCCTGGGGAAAAAATGACTTATGAGACTACCCCTTAAGATTCCATCTAGCACAGGAAGAAGAGGCTGAGATTGTGGGTTTACAGAGCAATCATGAGGAACAATAAAGTTCCTGCTTCATAAATATACTGGGTACCTCACAGTACCCAGTATAGGTAAGTATAAATAAGACACTGTATTATTTATTTTTTCTCAAGAAGACACACTAGGACTTATTTTCAGGGGATATCTTATTTTAATTAAGTATAATACAACAATCTACATTTGTTCAAATACAGTTAAGTCATCTTCTTCTGGAACCTGACAGGGGGAGCCGACCCTGTTGGTGGGGCTGGTGCTAGTGATGCGTGAACTCCTTTCCCCTAGCCGAGTGCACAACAGGATACCCAGGACCACAGTTACCACACATGTAACCACACAAGTGCGAATGGTTCAGAGAAAGGAGTTGCGGCAGATAAAAGGTATTCTAGTCTTCCTTACCACTCCGCGCCAAAATGCACCGCGTGACTATGCAGATACACTGCATAGCCATGCCCATCACTAGGTTTTATTATCGGGGTAGGGCTTATATTCAACAAATGCATAGACATCCTGCTAGGGCTTATTTTGGGGGTATGTCTTACTTTCAGGGAAACACAGTAACATGTTTCACTACTTCTTGTAGCTTAAATTTTTAATGAACTAAGTCTAAAGATTTCATAGTTTCACATTTACAGTTTGCAATCTTTTATCATTCTTAAAAGCAAATAGTAAATCTTTTCAAGGATGAAAGCTTGCTATTGTTGGTTATTTTCAATGTTTTACTGGAACTCCAAAAAAATAGGAATGTCTCACACAACAGCAGCATATACTTTGTTTTTTAAAATGATTACTCTTAATGTAAGGGTACTCATTTGCCATGCTTGTTACACAGCAAAATTAATACCTATGACTTCTCATAACTAAAGTAGTTGGAGAGTCAAGACTAAAAGCCATTTACATTGTTAGCTGTATTTCTCCTAACACTGTCCAAAGGAAAATTAACATATGAGCTATGTATCAAAAGCAAAAAAGAAGAAAGAGAAACATCCTTCATGGTCTTTCATTCATTTCATCAATTAGAACACACAAGGCAGCATCTTTTTCTATAATCTGGTCTCGCCTATGACCTGAATTTTCTCTGTGTTGTTCATTCTGCCCAGTACAGTTGTTGCTATCATCGGCATCCATTGGTTCACTTTTTACTCTCACCCCTGTTTCTGAATGGGGCAAATCATCAGGCAAAGAAGCCAAGCAATTTTGAATCATCTCAATTACTCGTTCCAGGTGCTTCTGAAACCTCTCAGCTGTTTCAAGCCGTTGACGTTTCTGGACCTCCATCATGACTCTCAAGGTCTCCCTTGCTTGGTGGGGTCGGTATTCATTTATAAGATGATGCACATGTACAAAAAGCAGCTTAAGATCTTCTAGTTTCTCTTCTCGTTTTATACTCCCAGGGCTCCTTATCAATATATCTAAAAGGTCCAAGAAATTAACAAGGATAGACATATTAAGTTTTCTTAGTTCTTTCTTGTGATCAAACTGCATAGGATGAAGTCGTTCAATGCCCTGACTTTCCAAAGGGCGGATGATAAGATCATCACACTGGAATTGGTTGCCAAACATCATATAACTGTCTTTTATTGGAGGGGGAGGCTTGGGAGCTAAGCCTTCCTGAATATTTTCATCTGTATATTCCTTGATGTATTGCATTGGAGGTGGTGGAAGCGCACTCACTTGCTGTGGTTCACCCATTGTGGAAGATCAAGACCTACAGAAATAGACAAAGGTTTTAGAGTAGAGCTATAAAACAAACCCATTATTAAGTGCCTCTAGAATATTTTCTTCCTTTTCTCCTTGCAGTTTGGGCCCAGGACAAGATCTCAGTTTCTAAAAGTTTGCCATCCTTTTCTAATTAGGCATTATATTCTGAATCATCCACATACTTTTCTTTCTCTCAATACTTTCATCAGCATAAAAAATATGCTGGTAGGGGAGTCCAACCTTTTTTCTTCTCTGCCGCAGGTGGAAGAAAAAAGTTGTCTTGGCCACACATTAAATATACAAATGACCACAGATAAGCAAAAAAAGTCCTCACATAATCCGCATGTAGCCTGTAGGCCACAGACTGGACACCCCTGCTAGCACATTTTCATCTATAAAGAAAATCTTCTGGATTCCACACCCCTCACCAGTTATGCCTCACTTCTCTACTCCTCTATAACCAAACTCACGTGCTGTCTCCCAATTTCATGTTACAATCACTTCTGCTTTATATTACAGATTGATTTCCAACTGCAAACACTTAGTACTTGACGATAAAATTAACAATGCTAAATTCCAGACACGAGGTACTATTCAAGGTTCCTGGATGAAATGATGATCCAGTTCCATACCCCTTTTCTCACAGTGTACTCTATAACTTTATATTTATAATAACCTCAATTTGCTCCATTTTAGGCCTAGGTATGTATTATCCCGTAAGAAGATCCTCAAGTGCTCTTTTAGAGTGATGTTTCAAGATATAAAACCCTCCAACATCAGATGGGGCAAGTAACATACTAGAAGCGGTACTATGTTTAGAATTTGAGGGCAGTTTCCCTTAAGCTACAGCAGTGCACAGAATGATGCAGTAATCATGGACAACATGAGTTACTGTGGCTGGACCAACCTACAATTCACTGTATAACCAGCCTTCTGTGTATTCACTTTTATCATTCTTCAATCTGACTTCAACTCCCATCAACTCCAGTAAAAGTGCTCATCAAAATCATTAAGAATTACATAACCAAATCTAATTATTTTCTGCATTTATCTTAATCTCATCAGCAGGCTTTTTCTTCTTTCTCAATATACCCCTCTCCTCCCTCAAATTCTGTGACTCTGACGTTCGTGTTTTCCACCTTCCTCCCTGTACACTCCCTTTCAGTCTCCTTTTACTACCTCTGTCTCTCCTTTTCTATCTAAACTTTACTGTTGGTGTGCCTCAGGACTTTTTTTCAACTAACAGACTAACAAGATTTCAATTAATTCCATCATTCAACAAATATTAGAACCATTCTACATTCCACTGTTTCTTCAGTGGTCATCCTAATTTAAGAAGCAGGCCCTTAGCTATCCTGGCATAGCAAGCAAGGAAGCCTTCTGGGGTGGAGAGCTCCCACTCACCATGCTGTCACAGTAGAAGCTGCCATCATGATCACTGCATAAATTCCCCTTAGATCAGTGTTTCTCAACCTTGCAAATACTGCAAACCTTTAATACAATCCAAAGGTTGAGAACTGCTGCCTTAGATGTTAGGCCAACACCATCCAAAAGACTATAGGGAAATTCTCATGTACAACTGATGGAAAAGGAAAAAATATATATTTGGAATTTAAGTTGGTAATATCACAATTTTAAATGCTGATGTTCTTTGAACCAGTAATTCCACTTCTAGAAGTTTATTTTATACAAACACCTGTATAAGCACACAAAGATGTACACAAGGATGTTTAATGCAGCACTGTTTGGAAAAGTTGGAAATAATCCATTGCATCCTCAATGAGGGCTGGATAAAATAGGAGGTCTTTCTAATACTATACAACCATTAAGGAAAAAGGAGTGAAGGTGTTTATATAAGCATTGTTTTACTTATGACACGTTTTAGCTGCAAATAGTCCAAATCAACTTTTAAAATTTTTAACGTAAGTTCAGATTTACAAAATTTGCATGAGTACACATAGAACACTTCATATTCTTCACTTAGATTCTTCAAATGTCCCTCATTTACTTTATTGGTTTCTCATTTCTTACTTCAGTGTGCATTCTCAAATCAAGAATGTTCTCTTATAACCACAGAGTAAGTACCAAAATCAGAAAATTAATATTGTTATGGTGTTCCAAAGTAAAATTTTCTTTTTTCTTTTTTAAGAGATGGGGTCTTGCTCTTGCTTGGGCTGGTCTCCAACTCCTGAACTCAAGCAATCCATCCACATCTACCTCCCAGATTGCTGGAATTAAGGCGTGAGGATCTACCCAGCCACATAAAATTTTAGAGCCCAAGTTTCACCCAACTCAAGCCTTTTTAGGTGTGGAATTCTGTTATATGCTCCTCCACTTAAGTTGCTGTTTTCTAAAGGCCAACTGCATGGCAGGTACCACTGTTTTATAGCCTTTCTTATATAACCATCACAACAATTCTGCAAGTATTATTATCAATTTCAATTTAGAGATGAGGACTCCAAGTCTCAAAGAGGGGGAAGTGTTCCACAAGATCAAAAGGTTAGTAAATGGTACAGGAATTCTTATCCCATCTCCTTTTAACTACAAAGCAAAAGTTCTCCTAAATCACTAAGCCTCTAACTGGTAGGCTGGGCAGGGTAGATCAGGCCTGTAATCCCAGCACTCTGGGAGGCCTAGGCAGAAGGATCCCTTGAGCTAAGGAGTTCGAGACCAGCCCGAATAAGAGCAAGACCCATCTCTACTAAAAACAGAAAAATTAGCCAGGTGTTGTGGCAGGCGCCTGTAGTCCCAGCTACTCCAGAGGCTGAGGTAGGGTCATCGCTTGAACCCAGAAGCTTCAGGTTGCTGTGAGCTATGACACCAGGGCATTCTAGCCTGGAGAAGAGACTGAGACTGCCTCAAAACACACACACACATATCTAGTCACATTACAGAAATTAACGTTTCTCTAGCACCTCTCTAGACGGACCTTTTCAAAAGTGATGGGGTCTTATTTTAGTGAAAACTGGCACAAAGCACCGTAGCTGGTTCTCCGACTCAAGATGTTTCTAGAGTTTGCTCTATCGGAGAGTGGCGGGGTTTCACCAAACGAAGAAAAGATATTTCGGGGGCCCAGCCCAGCGATTTGATTTTTGTCTACTGTGACTGGGCCCCGCGAATGTCCCATATTAAACCTCTCTAGATGAATCTGGTGATACGCCTGGGATTTACCCTCCCTCAGGCCCCGTGAACTCAGCTGATTTCGCAACTGCGACCCGTAGGACGAAGGCGCAGGGATGGTTATTCCCATTTTACAAAAGGCCAGAGAGGGCATATGATTCGCCACCGCCATACAGCTTAGAAGACCAGCGGCGCGGGGACCAGCCCCCGGCTTCCTCACCTCCAGCCCCGCACGGCGACGCCGCGCCGAGGCCCCTCCGCGGCCGTCCGACCCGCGTCCCCCGCCGGCCGCAGGCAGGCCGCGCGCCCGCACAGACGCGGGAAGGGGAGGCCGGCGCTTTCAGAAGCCGCACCTCGTCACGCCTCCCCCCTTTCCAAGCCAGCACAGAGGAAGCCGCAGGGTCGGGAAAGAGAAACGCACGCAGGCGGGAACCCCACGCCGTCACCGCCCTCTCACCTCAGCTTTCAGTCTAGCCGCGTAACCACCTTCTCCACCGCGGGCCAGACCGACTTCCGAGAAGCGTCTCCAGGAGCAAGTTAACAACACCGCCTCTGATTGGCTGCAAGAGCCGGCCTTTAACTGAGGCGCTAGCCCCGCCTCAGACCCACCGCTTGCTAGTGCGCGTGCGTAATTCTCCGCCCCTCCCCGCCTTTACCCGCCCCTTCCCTCCCCCGGTCTTCCTCGGTTGCCCAGGGCTAGTTTGCTGTTGTATCAGTTTAGCTCTTAGTAAACTCAAACTCCTGGTTTGGAGCAGTCCTCCTGCCTCAGCCTGCCAAGTAACTGGGACTGCAGGCACCCGCCATGACATCTGGTTAATTTTTTCTATTTTTAGTAGAGAAGGGGTCTTGCTCTTGTTCAGGCTAGTTTGGAACCCCTTGAGCTCAAGGGATCCTCCTGCCTAGGCCTCGCAGAGTGCCAGGATTGCAGGCGTGAGCCACCAGCTCTGGCCTTGTTTGTACATTTTTTAATTTTATTTGATTGAGACAAAACTCACAGCAACCTCAAACACTTGGGCTAAAGCAATCTTCTTGCTTCAGCCTCCCAAGTAGCTGGGACTAGAGGGACCTGCCACAACGCCCAGCTAGTTTTTCTGTTTTTTAGTGGAAATGGGGTCTCACTGTTGCTCAGGCAGGTGTCCAACTCCTTATCCATCTTTCTTGTCCTCCTATAGTGCTAGGATTACAGAACTGACCTCTTTGTACTTTCAGTCAATAAATGTAGCAGCTGGTAGCTCCACTCCTTTTTTCTTTTTTTCCTTTTCTATTTAATGTATAAAATTAAAAGAGACATCCGTAATTCTTAACATAAAAATTCAAAAACACAAATAAGCAGGTATTTTTTAATTAAATTAACTGTAACCCCATTAACGTTTAAGAAGTGAGACTGGATTCTAATTATTTGCTATTTTATTTATATATAATATTTAATCTGGAAATATTTGCAAACATGATTGTGAGTGGATAATATATTGTTAAGCTCTATTTCTTCACCATCCATTCACTTTTATTTTCATTTAGGAATTCAGAGACATCTATTATAAAATCTCCAGGCAACGAATTGACAAGTTTAAAAAAATTAGACATAAGAGGCAGGAGAACCACTTAAGCCCAGGAGTTTGAGGTTGCTTTGAGCAGGGCTTAGGCCATGCACTCCAGCCTGAGCAACAGAGTGAGACTGTCTCAAAAAAAAAAAAAAACTTGAAGATTGCTTTTGGAGGTTATTTTCACAAGAAGTGTCATAAATTTCTAAATTCACAGGAGTCTGACAAGAGCATGTTACACATGAAAAACAAGATTGTTATGCTGATTACAGTTGTCAGCTTTACCATTTTAAAAATAAGCCTTAGTTTCATGTTTTAAAACTTACTATGGAGAATTCCAAATATACTCAAAACTAGAAAGAAAGGTATACTCACCACCAAATTTCAACAGTTATTCATAGACCATTTCATTTCATCTCTATAAACATTTCAGCGTGCTTCTTTAAAAATTAAAAGTTTCTTTGAATCATTGTCTCATTTAAAAATAAGTTGATAATTCTTTAATATCATCAAATATCGTGTTGGTATTTGAATTCAGATACTTTCAGAGTCCATCCTTTTCGTCTGGTTGATGTGTCATTCAATT